AAAAAAAAAAAAAACTAAAAAAAAAAAAAAAAAAGAATACACAAAAATGCTGGGTAGGCAATGGAGACCAGGCCATAATTCCAGCACTCAGAAGTTGTAGAGACAAAAGACTCCTGGAGAAAGCTGGCTTAGCTCTCCATACCAGTGAGCTCTGGGTTTAACTGAGAGACCTTGCCTCATTGAAAATGTGGAGAATAATAAGGAAAACACCAATGTCAACATCTAGCCTCCACACATAGATACACACATACGCACCCATGCACACTGAACACACATATACGCATATTTAAAAAAGAAAAAGAAAAGGGCAATTTTTAAAACAGCATCTAATAAGATCAAAATATGAAAAACTTGGCGAAGTATGTGCAGGATTTGAAATTCAATTTTCAGCCAGGGGGGTCACCATGTGAGGAACTGTATTAAAGGGTTGCAGCATTAAGAAGGTCGAGAACCATTGCTGTAGAGTTGTTAAAACTTTAACACATGTAGTTTCAAGTTAACATCACTATAGCCAGTTAAGTTTTCAAAGCTCCACCACCAAAACATACCCATCTTACTATTTATAATTATTTGTATTCCCAGCCTACAGCCTCTGGGCCAGTTCTTTATAACTTTTTATTTTGAGAATGTCATGTAATAGAAATGTACAAAGGCAATTTTCAGAATGGATCTTTTCCTTATCTGAACTTTTGAGTCTCATGAATTATGTGCACCAACCATTCATTCCTTTGTATTGCTAAGTAGCTCCCCCAACACACACACACTGGATAAATAAGCATATCCATTCACCTACTCAAACATCTTATAATATCTTAGCTTTTATAGGACCTTTAATAAAGAGTTCTACTGAATAAAGATCACTTAATTATGGCACAACCAATTAAAACATGTTTTTATTTAAAAACAATTGGTTCTGCTCTATTTCATTATTAAGTTATTTTCCCTTAAAAAGATCTAGGGGTGAGAAGTGAAGATTCGCCTGCTTTAGTTTCTCTCCATCAGGAGACCAAAAGTAAACAAAAGGAATTAAGTACATGACTAAGCAGCAGAACTAGAGTCAGCTGTAAGTACATAGGGACACACCCTCGTCATCATAGTGAGCCTCCCTAAACATCTCAATAGAATACCAAAGTCATGTTTCCCCATCTCTAAAATGTAACACCCACATACAAACTTGATACCTTTTAGGTAATGACTCATTACCTTGAATATAGTATTTAAGAGGAGTTTCACTGTCCTTGGTAAAACATTTTCTCTGTTTCATTTGATGTTTACAATATTAAATAGACTGCACATTATTACTTAAAATAGAAACCTCAGAGGTATTGTCTTCATTTCCTCCAGGGTAAGCAATTCTAAAGCAGTGTTTACAATTCAAGAATCCATACTTCACTACAAACGTATCCCATAATTATATTGCTTTAGGTTTCCTTGAAAGTTCTGGAATCACTCTGTCCCAGTGTCTGATGGGGCCTCCCCCATGGTAGCTAGGCTATTTCTGACAACTCATGACTCCAATTTCCTTAAGCTACAACTTAAGCTACACACTCATCAATCCAGGCCTCCTCCTGGGCACTAAGAAGAAAAGTAAACTTGGCCTCCAGCTGAGCAGGAGCTCTTGGGAGTAGCTGGGAAAGCAGAATGAAGGCAGAGATGAGGATCCTCCAATTCTAGACCAGAACAAACAGAATCCTGCACTCACCCTCACTGCTCCTAGACCCACACAGTACAGCCAAGGAGGAAGGGATTCTAAAATGGAGCAGAGGCTCAATGGAAGAAGTCTCCTCTCTTGGAAAAGAAGCAACCAAAATCAGAATTCCACAGATATGGGAAGGAAACTCCAACTGCCACTAAGCCTCTTAGACATGCTTGGCACAGCACTTTTTAAATTTATTGCCTCATTAATAAGGGCCTATTATAGTATCATGAGTAAATAAGTGAAAATTATTTTTCTAACACATTCAAATACATACTTCAAATAAGAAATGTCCACCTACCTGTACAACATTTAATAACCTCATCTATTAGGAAAAGGTAACAAGAACTCTGGTCTTCTAAACCTATGATGATATAAGTTCTACATAATTCTGACACCACTTTTATAATGGGTCCTCTCTTTAGTCCTTATGTCAATTACTAAACCCTTTATTCGACTTAGCAACAGTTATCCAAAAACTATTTTATTTAGGTAACAAAGCTTATTAAGTAGTTTTTTTTTGTTGTTTTTTTTTTTTTTTTTTTGATACAGAGTTGCACCATGTAGCTTTGGCTGGCTAACCCACAGAGATCCACCTGTGCTGGTATTAAAGGCTTGCACCACCACACCAATCAAACATAAAATAATAAGTAAATAAATACATATATAGCTGAAGGATTGCAACTCTGCAACCTTTCGGAGTCTCTGAAATGACACCCCCAGCGCAAAGAAGCCATATATTGAACAAGTATACTCCATACATGAATTAAAAACAGATCCCTTCCCACAAATACTCCAGTTATTTGTAAATTTTATTAGTCTAAAATAAACTTGCAATATGAATTTAATATTTTCAGTAAAAAATATACCACTATATATTATACTATACTATAAATAGATGCATATATATTATACTATACTATATGATACATATATGTATCATATACTATACTATACTTGTCTGGATAAGCACCAACTAACATAAATTATTCTTTGCAGTTTGGTGACTATCACCAGAAAATGGAAAGTGTATTATTCTGCAGAAAAAAGGGGTTTGTAACAGCTATTATATTCATAATCAGGAGAGCATCTTTGCATTAAATCATAAAATAAAAGCTTATTATATAGTCTGATTGCCCACCTCTTTATATTCTCCACTCTTAAAACACAGGAAATAATTCATTTAAAGCAAGTTCATAGACATATCATACTTATCAGATTTCCTTTGGCATCTCTGAGAGGAGCACCACCTCCGCCCTTCCCCCAGGGGTTGTAAATTCTCATTTCTGCTTCCAGTTTAGCTTCATATTCTTCTTTTTCTAAACGTTCTTTCTTCCTTCTTGCTTCTCTTTCCCGAATCTTGACAACATAAGATATGCTTAAAGTAAATATTGACTTATAGGAGACTCAGACAAGAGACTAGCAATATTACTATTTAATTTTTCTGGTAAAAAAAAAATACAGATATTTTTTAAGTACGCTTATTCACTACAGACTTAAGAATTACAAATAAGAATGCTAATCTAGGAATGCAGGAATCTGACCTGGAACTTCAAGGAAAAGCCCTCACCCAACACCCATACCAGTCAACCTGACCCCTTATACATCACACCCAGAGTGCTGCTCCAGGACCAAGTCAACCCACCCTACAGCTCAGCATGGAAACCCCACAGAGAAAGCACTGCCCAAACTCACTGTGCCTCCCACTCTGCCACCTAAAGGCCACCAGTAGAATCCAGAGAGTTTTCCTTCTACTTCTGACCTCTGCATCAAGAATCTAAGCCTATAGAAAGCTCACACCTGGGCCCAGAAGTTGCACCTATACTCCCTAGGGAAAAGCAACAAAACAAAACAAAAATAACTAAATAAATAAAACAAAACAAAGAAAAAATTGAATATAAATATTTTACAAGGGGCTGGGTCAGTTAAGAGCAAACACTGCTCTTGCAAAGGACTTAAGCTTGATTCCCACACAGGGAAGTTCACAACTGCCTATAACTCCAGCTCCTGGAGGAACTGACACAACTGTGGCCATCGGCACTCATTTACACAGATACATAAACACATAATAAAAATAAATACATTCATGAAAAACTGGCAAGGGACTAGGAATGTGGAACCCTGCCTAGAAAGTACTAAATCAACCTTTACAACACATAAACATGGTGGCACCAAGGAGGGAAAAGGAAACAGGAGGACTAGGATTACAAGGCCATCCTTTCTTCACCACAGAATGAGTTCAATGCCAGCCAGCTACACATGAACCCTAATTCAAGAAAACAAAGCAACAAAAACCATACTTCATAATGTGGAGCTACACCTTGAATCTTGCCCCTGGGCAACTCTTACAAACTCCTAAGCAAGTTTTCTTTAACCAATATAAACTACAAAAGAAGCCAGTGTGCTTCATGTAAGTATTCCACTAATATAGTCCCTATTGGTCCATGCCTTGTGCATGAAAGATTAGAGAAGTGTCTCTTGGACATCCTTGCTTTCTCCCCATGGTTCTTAGCACCTCCTAGATGAACTGAAGTGGTAAAAGTTCATTAAAGGTTTCTCTAGAGCCAGCATGATGACTCCAAAGGTCAAATAAACTGCTACCAACCCTGACTACCTGAGTCTGATCCCAAAAAGACACATGGTAGAAGTCAACAACCACACACACATATACACACAACACATAAATAAGCAATTCCTAGGAGGAGACACAGGAAAATACAAAAATAAAGTGAATAAAGCTCCCAGACATATACCAAGAATGTCTATAACTAACAAGCAGCTCAAATATCCACTATATATGAAGCCCTAACTGTCTAAGACAAGACCACCATTTCTTACAGCATTCTAGTGTATGCACTTCAAAGCTTACCACATTGCCTGTTACTGTTTTCTCCTAAGGTATAAGTCAGTCAGTCACCACCAAATGAATAAAGGAAGGAAGGAAGGAATACCTGCTCTTGCAAAGCTTCTTGGTAAGATTGAAGTGACTGTTTGGAAGGTTTTGGTTTATCTTCAAAGATCAGTCCTGAATTCATCAGTCGATCACTTAAAAGTTTCTGGTCATTCTGTCCAACAGTATCCCTAAACATCAAATAAATAATTTGAATCAATTTATTATTATAAGAGCAAGCAAATTTTAGAAGAAAAGAAAAACAATTCTTTGAAACTGCCTGGCATATAAAACCATCTTTAAGAAGAAAGCCAGCAAGATGGGTCAGCAGGTATAGCACCTACTTTTCCATGCCTGGACCACATGGCACAAAGAAGCACCTCCTGCAAACTGTTCTCCAGCCTCCACATGCATGCCAAAGCATGTGCGCATACTGTGGCTCATTTGTGCACATGCAAACACATTCACAAAAGTTAAAAAACAAAAGATAAAATAAAGTTTTAAAGAGGAAGAAATCCTTAATTAAATTACTCCTTCATAAAATCTCCCATCTCTGTTTTTAAAACATGGAACTTACAAATTTATTCAATCTGTATCTTTAACTAAGAAGTAATGACATAGGTTTGATTCTGATTCCCAGGACTCACAATTACCTACTATCTAAAACCACTTCCCTTGTGGACACCTCTGTAGGTATGCACGCTCCCCCACACACATATATACAAAATAAAATAAAAACTAAAAAGACAGTATCAACAGAATAAAAAGGCAACCCACAAATGCTTTAACATCCATAATATAAAAAGACTACAAATTCAACCACAAATGATTAATAAACATTTCTCCAAAGAAGATACAAACAGCCAACAGCATATGAAAATATGCTCAACACCACTAAATCAATAAGGAGATACAAATCACAACTACACCGAGGACTGGAAATATGGCTCAATAACGGAATGCTTGCCTAGCATCTATAAGTGTTCAATCCCCAGCACTGAGAAAGGGGAAGGAAAAACAACACTACTGTGATGGGATGGGGAGATAGTTCCTTCAATAATGTGCTTACAGAGTGTGATGA